GACTTACTTTCCAAGCTGTGGGTACCTCGTGAGCTATAGTAGAGATAGTTTTAGCTCTGTCTCATCTGGATGGCTACATTCTGACTGGAGGGGAACATTGCACCACTGAATTATAATAATTGTAGAAAATATATTTACAGTCGTTCTTCAACACTTTAAAAGAAAGAAATAATTTAGAGTTGAAATTCGTTCAACAAGAAAGTTGAATTTTATATAGATGAACATTAATAAAAACGGCAAAGTTTGATTTTGAGTTCATTTCAACATGGTGTTTGTGAATTTTCGGAATTTTTCCTCAGAATAATACGGCACTCGCAGCCACCTAGGAGAAAATTTTACTATAGGTTAGAACAAAATAGAGTTAATTTGACCTTGTAACGTAAATGCAAGTTTATTTTTTATCGATTTTTAGCCAATCATTGTTTCTCAGTAATGTTTGGCATAGTATGATGTGATTTAAACACAACTAAAGATCTTTTTCTGTTACTTTCAACTGTTTAAGCCGATATGGTTTCTCATAAATTCGCCTACAGATTGGGTCTGGTCAAATGATGTTAGAAGAAAAGATACTTTTTAACAACTTCTGTTACAGTTACAGTATTAACTTTTTTTAAAGTTTGAAAAAAGCTTGCTTTATTTTATACTTCCTATGAATCACGACGTTACAGTTTGATAGGAAAATAAATTTTTCTCGTGGAACGAGATGAGGTAGGTGTGGTTAGATAACTTTTCAGTTGACAGTACCAGGTTTCGTTTTGCCGACAAACCAGCTGTGTTAGGTTTGATTACATTAGGCCTTATCAGCCTAACTGCTTGAATGAGCACAGAAAACGACAGAAAATAAATGTTCAAATATATATATAAATGAGTGTAAAATATATTTAAAATATTACATTTACTAAATGAAAGCTTTCGATTAACAATTTAAGAAATAGTCGGCTTGCTTATAATTTTGGTATAGGAAAATAGTGGTTTTTACTGTACGACAATGAAGCTGCTTTCCACGTTTTTCGAATCAAAATCAAATCTCCAATTCGTCGAATAAAAACTTTTTGAAAATATTTAAAGGAATGTAGGAAGATAAAAAAATTAGTAATTAAAATATTTAACATTTTAAATAATTTTTTAAAACATATCGTATTGAAATATTTTTGAAATTTCAAAGCTAAGATTTCATACAAATTCCACATATAAAAATAAGATATTTTATTTACAGAAAATACATAATTTCTAGAAAGTTAAAGTGAAGTCTCAAACTATTCTAGCCAGTTGTGCAATAAAATAAACTACACAACTGTTTCACCAGGGTTTGAAAAGAGTTACGGCAGTGTCTGCTGCAGCCATTTTCTGCTCTTGTGTAGTACCAAATACGATCTCCATTAGAGTGAGAATGGTTTGTACACACAAGTGAAGCTACAGGAACTCACTTAGAAGACCTTCAGTGAACTTAACAGACCTTTATTGAACTTAGCAGATTTTCAGTGAACTTACCAGACTTTTAGTGAACTTAACAGACCTTCAGTGAACTTACCAGACCTTCAGTGAACTTAACAGACCTTCAGTGATCTTAGCAGACCTTTAGTGAACTTAGCAGACCTTCAGTGAACTTACCAGACCTTCAGTGAACTTACCAGACCTTCAGTGAACTTACCAGGCCTTCAGTGACCTTAGCAGACCTTTAGTGAACTTAACAGACCTTCAGTGAACTTACCAGACCTTCAGTGAACTTACCAGACCTTCAGTGAACTTACCAGACCTTCAGTGACCTTAGCAGACCTTTAGTGAACTTAACAGACCTTCAGTGACCTTAGCAGACCTTTAGTGAACTTAACAGACCTTCAGTGATCTTGGCAGACCTTTAGTGAACTTAGCAGATCTTCAGTGAACTTACCAGACTTTTAGTGAACTTAACAGACCTTCAGTGAACTTACCAGACCTTCAGTGAACTTAACAGACCTTCAGTGATCTTAGCAGACCTTTAGTGAACTTAGCAGATCTTCATTGAACTTAACAGACCTTCAGTGAACTTACCAGACCTTTAGTGACCTTACCAGACCTTCAGTGAACTTATCAGACCTTCAGTGAACTTAGCCAGCAGGAAACCTCACCTGAATAAGCTCTGGTGCGTAAGTTCTACCAACTCTTCTGCACAATCAACTAGATTTTGAGTAGACCACATTTGCAAGCAATAGATGTGGTCCTATTTTCTTGAGATCATATGTTCAAGATTCTAGTACATTGAATGATCGTAATTTTGCGAGAGGTGGATCACTATCTGTATAGTGGTCCTATTTTCTTGAGATCATATGTTCGAGATTCTAGTACATTGAATGATCGTAATTTTGCGAGAGGTGGATCACTATCTGTATAGTGGTCCTATTTTCTTGAGATCATATGTTCGAGATTCTAGTACATTGAATGATCGTAATTTTGCGAGAGGTGGATCACTATCTGTATAGGTATCTTACTCTAAGTGATAGATCAATGGGCATTATCCATCCTCTGACTTCTTCAGGACTGTTGGTAGAGTAGTGAGGACAACATGCACTGAATACTGAACACTAAGGAATTCTTAAGCGACCTTCCTATGTGGTCTGACAATATTTTGTTTTCTCACATTGGAGTAAAGTCACAGATGTGACTTTTCCCATGCTTTTGTGCTTTAGCTGGCGAAAGGTAATTGTGACCAAGGACAGAACATTTTGTTGTAATTGAACTCGAGGAGTCAAAGAAATATGACTTGCAGAGATTCTGGCAAACTGCACACTCCATGTCCAGACCTTGGTACCAATGAGCATGACTCATCTCTCCTGACTCTAACCAGAATTTCTATTTTTCTCTTCCTGGGTAGGTTTTCTTCTCCATGAGAGATACATGGTTCTGATTCTGTGCAACAATTAAAAAGAAATAAGAACGAACGTAATTAGTATTAATGTTTCATAACGGTGCAAATACAATTAATAGATTAGGAGAGTAGAAGTGTATGCAAGATGCCACTGTGTTGTAAAATATACGAATATTAAGGTAAAAGGAAAGATTTATAGACTGTTGGAAGAGGAGAAAATTTATATGCATATACTGTTTGATGCTGATTGATTTACTACACATGAGCCAATAAATCTTATTGAAACTTGTAATAAAACATAGAAAAAATAATCAGGTATTTCAAATGTATACTTGTTACAATCGTGAAAATAATTTTTCCAATGGCCTGACAATGATTTTATTGCATTCATTATGTATTAGGTCTGTAAGCATGTTCTCTATAAATATAAGTAGTTTTAAAGGGGTGTGATAATAAAGCATATATCTTCCCCAAGAATGATCATCATCTATTAACTTGGTGTAAAACCATTATAAATGAAACCTTGATGACTGGGCGCGAATTTTGTTAAGGGATGAGAGCTTGTTTTGGTTGCAACTAGCAGGTGATGTTCACAGAGGGATAGCTGGGTGGGCTCAAGCCCCTGCCTTTCTACTCTTATGATTCTATGGTACTCTTTTTTTTTCTCAGTCATAAATAAATGTCCACAAATACTAAAAGACACGCCTGGTTATGCTATGTGTACCAGACGCAACCCACAGTCCCCAATGCATCCCCTAATACTTCCACCGCCCCTAAAAAAGAATTGCCTTGCGATGATTAAAAAATACCCTTTTTGTCAATGAGCCCACCACCATTTCAATGTCCTGTGCACCTTGCTATGAAATAGGTGTAGAGTCAGGTAGGTAAGCATTGCGTATTGAGCAAGTAACGTATATGTTAAATGTCTACTTATTTATGTATACATTATTAATAAATGAACACAGTCTAGAGGCCATTATGTAAGTTTTGGACAACAGGCCAATGTGTTATTTTAAAAGGCTCTGCCACAAAACTTGTAGGACATATGAATAAGAATATGAAAGCCTTCTATTCGTCTACCCAAGAACCCAAATATTAAATCCATAGAAAATATATATTACTATTTGGAGTGTTAGACCAAGACCGTTTAGTCACTATCAAGTTTTCAAATTTTTGAAACAACTGTAAAAGCAAACTACACCTTTAATTTTGTATTTTGCATGCTCTTGAAGAAAGTTAGCTATTTATTTATTTTAAGCACAAACTGCACAGTGGATTACCTGCGCTGTGCCCACTGCAGGAATCGAATCCCAAATTTCAATGTTGTAAACCCTCAAGCTTATCGCTAAACGACAGTGGAGAAGAAGGTTAACAGCTGAACAAAAACAAAAAAGCTGGACAATTATATCTATTTTTGTTTTAATATAATTATTAAAGTCTTTATTCAGCGTAAAAGCCCTCAGTGGCACAGCGGAAAGTCCGAAGGCATATAATGCTAAAAATCGAGTTTCGTTAGTCGTGGTAGGGCACACCGCAGTTAGCCCATTGTGTATATTTGTGTTTAACAAAAAAATAATAATAAGCGTGGTTTATTTTTCAATATAGAATTATGAAATTAATGTAACTAAATGTAATTTCTTCTGATTTTCTAACATTTTAGCAAAAACTAACAATTATGATTAACTGTGATCTAAACTGAAAATGCACTGGCAATGGTGATAACATGTGATGAATATGTGAACTACGTTTCAAGAATTTTCATTCTACCATGTGATTGTTCACCTTTATCAATAAACACATCATTAAAGTTAGCCGAAGTATGATTGATTTTGCAAAAGAATGTGCCTGACTAAATATCGGTATAAGATTTTGGAGCGTAGAAATTCAACAGAAGTGCAAAGTTAGGGTTTAAAGCGCATGCTCAATATTGATCCAGTAAAGCATTGAATTTTTGCATGCAAGTACATCGCTGGAGGGCGAAATATACTTTTGTTTATTAGCTTCTGCTGTAGAATTATTATTGTTTGATATTAGTTCTTTGTTATACTAGATGAATTCGGTTCCCCTGTGTATCCTACAAACGTTCGTAAGGAGAAATATATATATCCACCAAAGTAATTTCAAGGTCTTCGGACAAATATTTTCTAAATGACGGTTTTCTGCGTCAGTTCCGTTATGACAGCGGCAGTATGTGCGTCATATCCGCTTCGACTGCTGGTAGCTAACAAACTCAGCTGTAGTTTGAGAAGGAGCACGAGATCGCCCAAATCAAGCCGATTAAAACTTGATGAGACACGTGACGATTATAGTCATCCTATTGGCTAGTTAAGGTTTAAATACGTTCGTAAATTGTGGTTTGAAGACTTTTTCCTTCAAGTTCCTTATCAGCTTATATATTGTCTTCGAAAGAAAAAATCAATATTATAATAACGACACATGGAGATCAAATTCCACGTGTCTTCAAGCAAGTAATCAGAAAATATTGACAGTTGTGTGCCCAGTAGTGAAATTTCAGAATCGCTCATTTCAGTGAGAAATGAACGACACTGTGAAAACCAAATACTTACATCATCGTCGGAATTCTGCTACTTACCTCGAGCCTCAGCTAAGCAGGGTAGTTTGGGATATCTCTCCTTCCCTCGAAGGTAACAATTAAAAATTTGACGATTGTGTAGCTATAAAATAAGTGTTTTTATTCACTAAAGATTCAAATAAATAAGGCACTTTTTAAAACCGGGCCTTTTTTTTTTTGTTGGTTTGTTGTTCAAATTCGATGACGAGGAACCCACTTTGAGACTAATAATGGCTGGAGACGGCTTGAATGGGTAATGAAGAAAACTAATATAA